TTTATTCTTATTAACTTCGCTGGCACATGGCATTAAATTTCGCGCCAGAAGTGGCCTGAGGCCTGCTTGATTATTAATTAGCATTTAGGCCTAATACATTTCTGATATATGTACAATTTTATATGATAGTCGGGTAAATATTGAAATAAGAAGTTGAAATTTACCAAAAATGACGCATTCTCCAGCTTCATTGTGAAAAGATCGCGAAGGTGAGTTACTGTTTGTTATTGTATCTTTTTTCTGTGGATCCTGAACTCGCTGTAATGTTTACAATGTTTACCTTAATACTCTGTTCTGGTCATATACGTTAGTAAACATGTCTGAAATCAAAGAATATGTTTCTATAGCAACATGTTTTAACATTTATTCCTTTAACTAGTATATAATTGGTGATATTTTTCTAATTGCCAACAATAGGGAATGGTATCGTTTTCAGTGTCACTTTTTCAATTGATTTTTTTATACTTATTCCACTAGTGACTACGAAATATTCAATATATTTATTAAATACTAGTATTTTGCATCTACTAGTCACTGTCCTAAGTATTAAATTGCTGGTTAAAATAGCATTTCCCCCCTCATTGAATCCTGTAGGAATCTGTGGTTCCGATTTGACTAACTATCATACTTCTTTCTAAAGCTATTAGAATCATTCTACTTAAGCAACTAAATAGACACTAATGCGTTTTAGTTTCAGTTGATACTAGTTCTTGAACACTAAGTTGCATTGCTTAGTTGATATCTGAAGCAGCAATCACCATTAAAATCAATTACAAAAATTGTCCACTAGGTGTCATTAAAGGCGCATTGAAAGTACAGCCACTGTAGTGATGGTTCTTATTGTGAGGAATTTCTAGCAAGGGTCTCCACAAATCTCACTTATTTTTTTATTTTATAACGTATGCAAACGTGGATCAGAATTGCTGCTGCCTTCAAGACTCTTAGCTTAAGTGTTCCACGCTGGGTTATTTTATAAAGCGTTTGTTGATAGCGTGTTCATTTATTAGTGCCACCAGGGAATATTTTTAAATAACTCCACTCTCCATTTAAAATGAATGAATGGTGGTCTGTTAGCTGCGGTGGGCTTGAATTCAGGGTAGGCTGACATTGCACCCTTTTCAGGATCAAAGTTCAAGCAAAGGAAAGAAAGAGAGAAAAAGAGAGAAAAAAATCACACGCATAGACTTGGTAATGTAAGTACAGTATAAAATTAATGGCGTCTGTCAGGCTGGGGACCAGCTTGCCACTCAATGAGAGATTAAGGGTAAACATTGTGCCCCATCATTTTTCATTTAATTCCCCTCCAGATCAACAGAATTTTTTGCTGAAAGCAGGCAAAGGTGTAGAAAGAAAAGCCACTGTGAGCTATATATGGAACGTATGCAATTATAACAAAACGATGAAGCTGAGACGGGAAAGCAGATGATCATAACATCTCATCTGAGCTCGGTGAAACGGTGCTGCTCTCTGACATATCGTGAATCTCTGCCACCTCATCACCTCCAAAAGAGAGACAGACAGATGGAGAAAGAGCAAGAACAGTAGGCTCATTCGAAAACACATCAAATCAGACTATTTTCTGCATCTAAACAACAGCATTTGGTGCAGGTGAAGTCCACGTTGTCAATACCACGGCGTTCATGGGAAGCAGTAATAAGTTTTGGAGTGTGCCCTGTTTGGATGGTTTTCCAGAAAGCAATCTGATATCTCTAGGTGTAAGTGCACAAGGCCTGGGGGCAGATGAGTCGGATTTGCTGCTCAGTTGTTAGTTGTAGGCGGGGCCTCAGAGGGTAACTTGGTCAACTAATCGCAAAAGCATTTAATTTGATTTTCCTAAACAAGAAAATATATATACATTTGGTAAATACATAACATAAAAATATGAAATGTTTAAAAATTAAGTATGTTTTATTCTTATTAACTTCGCTGGCACATGGCATTAAATTTCGCGCCAGAAGTGGCCTGAGGCCTGCTTGATTATTAATTAGCATTTAGGCCTAATACATTTCTGATATATGTACAATTTTATATGATAGTCGGGTAAATATTGAAATAAGAAGTTGAAATTTACCAAAAATGACGCATTCTCCAGCTTCATTGTGAAAAGATCGCGAAGGTGAGTTACTGTTTGTTATTGTATCTTTTTTCTGTGGATCCTGAACTCGCTGCAGGTGAAGTCCACGTTGTCAATACCACGGCGTTCATGGGAAGCTGTAATAAGTTTTGGAGTGTGCCCTGTTTGGATGGTTTTCCAGAAAGCAATCTGATATCTCTAGGTGTAAGTGCACAAGGCCTGGGGGCAGATGAGTCGGATGATGCCGTCAATAGTAGCTGTCTATTATACTGCGGGAGAGCTTGGAGGAAGTGGAAATGGAGAGTGAGCAAGGTAAGATAAACATTGCAAACCCTCCAATCAACTCCATAATGGAGTGGCAGCTCACGTGGGGTTAAACGGCAAGCTTGACGGGAGAAGGCTGAGCATCCAGTGATCCTTAAAAAAATATGAAATGTTTAAAAATTAAGTATGTTTTATTCTATTAGGCCTATTAATGTTGATATATATAATATCATTTTAAAGGAACCTAAATGATAGAGTTGTATAACTATAAAAAAGATTTTGAAACACTGTATAATGAACCAAATAATAGACAAAACGGTGACTTGCTGCTCTGTTGTTAGTTGTGGGCGCGGCCTCTGAGGGCAACTTGGTCTACTAATCGCAAAAGCATGTAATTTTATTTTCCTAAACAAGAAAATATATATACATTTGGTAAATACATAACATAAAAATATGAAATGTTTAAAAATTAAGTATGTTTTATTCTTATAGGCCTATTAATGTTGATATATATAATATCATTTTAAAGGAACCTAAATGATAGAGTTGTATAACTATAAAAAAGATTTTGAAACACTGTATAATGAACCAAATAATAGACAAAACGGTGACTTGCTGCTCAGTTGTTAGTTGTAGGCGGGGCCTCAGAGGGTAACTTGGTCAACTAATCGCAAAAGCATTTAATTTGATTTTCCTAAACAAGAAAATATATATACATTTGGTAAATACATAACATAAAAATATGAAATGTTTAAAAATTAAGTATGTTTTATTCTTATAGGCCTATTAATGTTGATATATATAATATCATTTTAAAGGAACCTAAATGATAGAGTTGTATAACTATAAAAAAGATTTTGAAACACTGTATAATGAACCAAATAATAGACAAAACGGTGACTTGCTGCTCAGTTGTTAGTTGTAGGCGGGGCCTCAGAGGGTAACTTGGTCAACTAATCGCAAAAGCATTTAATTTGATTTTCCTAAACAAGAAAATATATATACATTTGGTAAATACATAACATAAAAATATGAAATGTTTAAAAATTAAGTATGTTTTATTCTTATTAACTTCGCTGGCACATGGCATTAAATTTCGCGCCAGAAGTGGCCTGAGGCCTGCTTGATTATTAATTAGCATTTAGGCCTAATACATTTCTGATATATGTACAATTTTATATGATAGTCGGGTAAATATTGAAATAAGAAGTTGAAATTTACCAAAAATGACGCATTCTCCAGCTTCATTGTGAAAAGATCGCGAAGGTGAGTTACTGTTTGTTATTGTATCTTTTTTCTGTGGATCCTGAACTCGCTGTAATGTTTACAATGTTTACCTTAATACTCTGTTCTGGTCATATACGTTAGTAAACATGTCTGAAATCAAAGAATATGTTTCTATAGCAACATGTTTTAACATTTATTCCTTTAACTAGTATATAATTGGTGATATTTTTCTAATTGCCAACAATAGGGAATGGTATCGTTTTCAGTGTCACTTTTTCAATTGATTTTTTTATACTTATTCCACTAGTGACTACGAAATATTCAATATATTTATTAAATACTAGTATTTTGCATCTACTAGTCACTGTCCTAAGTATTAAATTGCTGGTTAAAATAGCATTTCCCCCCTCATTGAATCCTGTAGGAATCTGTGGGCATTTATTTGTATACAAAATATTATCTTGGTATTCAAGGCACACATCTCATCTGAGGCGTTCAGCTTTGTGTGACGGTGTAGTATTAAGGCTCGGTAAGCCTCCTCTGAGCAATGTGGAGTGGATGGAATAAGCATAGGCCTATCTGTTCTTCACCTTTCTGGTGAAGGAAACTCTCACACACTACACCTTGACATTCATGACAGCGAGGATACTAAAGTGATTGTAATCCAAATCGCCGACAAGCTGAATAGGAGGAATTTTCCTCCCTTTTCTGGTGTAGAACCGTCATTTGTTTGCATAATGACACTTCCAGACTATAGAGACTGCTTCTGTTGCAGTGCTGCACTTTAAACCCCTGCTTTGATTTGGCAAGGTCTCAAGCTCTTTTAATCTGTTATATGAGAGAAAATTTAGATTTGGTGATGGTTTCATGTACATTTTTATGACACACACACACATATATATATATATATATATATATATAATTTTTTTTTTAATTAGTAGATTTTTAGAAGTATTAGAAATGTTTTTTTAGGAAAGTGATTTCCAACAAACAAACAAACATAATTTATTAATTTATTTAATACAAAAAAAAGAAAAGAAAAACAAATTTATTTGTTTTATGGACTTATTCGGATAACACTCATAGCAGAATACTTTTTTTTTATACTGTTGTTAATGAATTTAATAATAGGCATATTAATGTTGATACTGAATTATATAATATAATTTTAAAGGAACCTAAATTATGTAGTTGTATAACTATAAAAAGGAATTTGAAACACTGTATAATGAACCAAATAATAGACAAAACGGTGACTTGCTGCTCTGTTGTTAGTTGTGGGCGCGGCCTCTGAGGGCAACTTGGTCTACTAATCGCAAAAGCATGTAATTTTATTTTCCTAAACAAGAAAATATATATACATTTGGTAAATACATAACATAAAAATATGAAATGTTTAAAAATTAAGTATGTTTTATTCTTATTAACTTCGCTGGCACATGGCATTAAATTTCGCGCCAGAAGTGGCCTGAGGCCTGCTTGATTATTAATTAGCATTTAGGCCTAATACATTTCTGATATATGTACAATTTTATATGATAGTCGGGTAAATATTGAAATAAGAAGTTGAAATTTACCAAAAATGACGCATTCTCCAGCTTCATTGTGAAAAGATCGCGAAGGTGAGTTACTGTTTGTTATTGTATCTTTTTTCTGTGGATCCTGAACTCGCTGTAATGTTTACAATGTTTACCTTAATACTCTGTTCTGGTCATATACGTTAGTAAACATGTCTGAAATCAAAGAATATGTTTCTATAGCAACATGTTTTAACATTTATTCCTTTAACTAGTATATAATTGGTGATATTTTTCTAATTGCCAACAATAGGGAATGGTATCGTTTTCAGTGTCACTTTTTCAATTGATTTTTTTATACTTATTCCACTAGTGACTACGAAATATTCAATATATTTATTAAATACTAGTATTTTGCATCTACTAGTCACTGTCCTAAGTATTAAATTGCTGGTTAAAATAGCATTTCCCCCCTCATTGAATCCTGTAGGAATCTGTGGTTCCGATTTGACTAACTATCATACTTCTTTCTAAAGCTATTAGAATCATTCTACTTAAGCAACTAAATAGACACTAATGCGTTTTAGTTTCAGTTGATACTAGTTCTTGAACACTAAGTTGCATTGCTTAGTTGATATCTGAAGCAGCAATCACCATTAAAATCAATTACAAAAATTGTCCACTAGGTGTCATTAAAGGCGCATTGAAAGTACAGCCACTGTAGTGATGGTTCTTATTGTGAGGAATTTCTAGCAAGGGTCTCCACAAATCTCACTTATTTTTTTATTTTATAACGTATGCAAACGTGGATCAGAATTGCTGCTGCCTTCAAGACTCTTAGCTTAAGTGTTCCACGCTGGGTTATTTTATAAAGCGTTTGTTGATAGCGTGTTCATTTATTAGTGCCACCAGGGAATATTTTTAAATAACTCCACTCTCCATTTAAAATGAATGAATGGTGGTCTGTTAGCTGCGGTGGGCTTGAATTCAGGGTAGGCTGACATTGCACCCTTTTCAGGATCAAAGTTCAAGCAAAGGAAAGAAAGAGAGAAAAAGAGAGAAAAAAATCACACGCATAGACTTGGTAATGTAAGTACAGTATAAAATTAATGGCGTCTGTCAGGCTGGGGACCAGCTTGCCACTCAATGAGAGATTAAGGGTAAACATTGTGCCCCATCATTTTTCATTTAATTCCCCTCCAGATCAACAGAATTTTTTGCTGAAAGCAGGCAAAGGTGTAGAAACCCTGTAGCTCCCAGCATTGAAGGGACGCATTTGGAACTAGAATGATTCCCACCTTTTTTCATTGCCTGCATGTCTTACCTGATTAAACCGCAGTATTGCTTTGGAAAAAGGAAGTGGTAAAGCCATTTAGGACAGGCTGAAATGCTGGCTTCTCTCATCAGTGCGGCGCCCTCCCTTTGAGGACTTTCATAAATATGGGTTTAGTCTGAGAATGGCCGACTGTTCCTGGCCTTCTGTGACACCTTGCGTTCTTGCATTATGCCTGGGCGGCACGGCAGAAAATGCTCATGAAATGTATTCAATTCAAATCAAATTGATGTAGCGCAGAGTAATCTTTCTCTATTAGATGTGTCACTTTTGGCAATTGTTCCCTAATATCCTTTACTGTGACTATATAAGATTAGTGCTCTCCATGCCGGCAGAGTTTTCGTGCCTTACTGAATTATTCACCGAGGCGTAACCTTCAGTTATCAGGTTAGAAAGACCTTGATTATAACAGGAAGTCAAGTGTAGAAAAGCACTCTCTCCACTAAAGGAAGTGTTTCAACCCTTTTGGAAATTTGAATAATTATGAAATGTACTCACAAATAGTATAAGAAATTAATTACACAGGCACAATGGCTTTCTCTGTACTTGCAAAGCCTAATTTATGAGCAAAATAATTAGTTTATCTTTAGGGATTTTTTTGTATTATATTTTAATGCGTAGCAAATGAAATGTGGCCATTGTTATCTGGAACTTCCTCCTATTAATACTTGACACAAAAAATAAACTCTCTGCTTGATGTTTGTCTCTTAAGTGACAACACTCAAATGCAGCCAAAGTTTTGTGAGTTATTTAATTTCAAATAATGTGCTTACCATCCTATTCCATCATATTTAGTTGGGGAATCGTTAATCAAAAAGAAAATTATGATGACTCCCTGCTGACTAGACTGATGTGTTGCTCTCTGCGGAGCACCGCGGCAAACTTCTCCACAAGCATCTTCTGGAAATAAGGGAAACGGATAGCCGATCATTCCGCACACCTTGAAATTATAGCCTTCCTTGCATTTTTTTGACCTCCCCTGAATAGTCGCTGTAAATTAGGGCTGTGCGATATTGAAGAAAAATGCGATATGCGATAACTCATTAAATAATGCAATATTCGATATGCAATACGATAATGCTTAAAGTGTCACCTGCTCAAATTCTAATAAGAAAGCACCCCTACAACAACTTCTGAAAGTGAATGGAAGTGTTTTACTCAAGCATTACATAAAAATGTCATTTTAAGATGAGTTTAGGAACTGAATAATAAAAAGGAAAAATAAAACACTGCGTAGTATTTACTCTTTGAATTCAATATGCACTGATTATTATTATAGCTACAAAAGTTATTTAGGTAAGAGCAGTGAGTGATTTTCTCTTTGTATTTTGTTCATGGCCCCAAATATTGCAAGCTGTAGCGATATGCATATTGCGATATGTACATTTGCGATATTTCGATAATTTCGATATATTGCACAGCCCTACTGTAAATGAATTAAGTTCATTACCTTCCACCCTGCTGGAATAATGCAACTCTCATTACATCCTTGATAGACAACATTTGACGAGGACATTTCTATTAGCATTATTCCATGCAGAATAATGCACCCTTTGTTATTTACTTTGTGAAGGAACAAACAGAGATGTGGTCCAACTCGTTGATTATGTCCTTTTCATCACCTTTATGGTGTCATTAACTCATGTGGTTTAGATACTGCACTTAGTGGTTGTCTTGTTTGTGTTTGATTCATATATGGGTCAGCGGTATATAAGGGTCCACTATAAAGATAAATAATCTAGTGTGCTCTTTGTATTCATGATGATTTCCTATGGTTTTGATGTCATGTGGCGTAACCTAAGTAAAAGTAGTATTTTTCTCTTACACCTTGAATACATGTGAGTGTACATTATATTATAATCCTTATTCTCTCTCTCTCTCTCTCTCTCGTTTTTTGTTTTAATACTACCGTTCAAAAGTTTGGCAAGATTTGTGTATGTTTCACAGGTAAATGTATTTATTTATTTAATCAAATGTTGAAGTTTCTTGAAGTCACCAAGGCTGCATTTATTTGATAAAAAATACAGTAAAAAAACATTGTGAAATATTATTACAACTTAACTGTTTTCTGTTTCAATATATTTTAAAATACTGAATTTTCAGCAGCCAGTTTTCGGTGTCACATAGTCCTTCAGAAATCGTTCTTATATACTGATTTGGTGATCGAGAAACATTTATTTATTTATTTATTTTCAAAGGAACAGCATTTATTTGAAATATTATTATTATTATTATTATTTTTACAATTTAAAGTCTCTACTTTCACATTTGAACTATTCATTGCATCCTAAAATTATTAATAAAAAAAAAGGAAAGAATCTTACTGGCTCAAAATGTTTGAATGCTAGTGTTGTATTTTATAATAATAATGATAATAATAATAATAATAATAATAATAACTGTATTATAATTGTATTTGTTATTAATCCATATAATAATTTCTGCGAAGTTGCAAGAAAAATTAAACCGATCTGATACTTATTAAACTTATTATTATACTAACTACACTTATTGACCTTGATACACAGTTATGAGGGTCTGCATGTGTCCTCTTTATAATATAATTTCCTCTTTTATGTTTATTTTTCTGCTTGTTTTCACTTGTTAGTTGGACCACATGACTTTTATTTGGCCGATAAAGGTTTGATCAAATCAGCAGTGAATATTTTTCTCTCTAAAAATGTAAAAAAAAAAAAAATAATAATTATTACTTTAAGCCCCCCAAATATATCAAAATTAATTTTAATTCTGAAATTAAAAACATGCCTATCATAGAAAATATGTATTCATTATCAAGTCATTGTATGTGTGAATTGCACTGCACTTTCCTGTGTGAACTTTGAGACTATGCTTACTACATCATCAGGTGTTTTTTTAGCCTGTCAATTGAAATTGAGCAGCAAAACAGTCCCTGACTAATACAATATTCAGATGCATGCTGCATTTTGCCCCTTTAGAACCCTCATGCATGCGTGTGTCTGCATGGGGGAAAATGCAAGCTGCATTTTAAATGCATTTGTGCATTCAGCATGGTGCTCTGTCAGGCATGTGTCTGGGACAGATAGTCATGACTGCTTTAATACTGTCGAGTGTGCTCTGGAGGTAAATTACCTGCCTGGCAGAGAGAGATTGGTGCCCAGCATGTCTCCTGATAAAGTCAAGCGCTTCTGCGACTTTGCCTTGCTGCATCTATTTGCACTCCATATTTCAACACGGCGCACATGTAACAACTTAATTTGCCCCCAGTCATAATTCTGCCCACCTACGGCATAATGAGGTGATGCTGGTTATTTTAGACTTAGCTGCATGGACGCCTGCGGTAATTTGAGTTCCGAGGTGCTTGCAGTTCCCATCTCGAATTGGCACGTATACAGAGGTCCAACATATGCGAGGATGTTTCTCCTCACAACGCGACTGAGTTTAAGGAAAGTTCCTGGCCATAAAATTTGACTAATGTTTTTAAAACACAACCCTGATCCCACAATTCATCTTGGCACATTCTGGAGAAATCCCACCACATTCTTCACTGTATTTGCAGGCCACCTCTGCGGGAAGCATTTTTTCGGGCTTTTTTCCTCGTCTTTCTTTCACAGATGTACATTTCTTTGGCCCGAGCTGTAAATTGAAAACACCGGTTCGCACACCTCGGAAATGGACTTCATTCGTTCACGTGAACTTCCCATAACCCCTCATGTGTGAGACACTCATCATCAAGCGAAGGCCTCGTAGTGAAGGCCGGTCCATCACGACAATAGCGGGAAGAACCCAGCGA